ACTAACGTACCCTGAAGGACTTCACGGTCTACTAACATACCCTGAGTGACGCCACGGTCTACTACCGCACCTTGAAGGACGCCACTGTCTACTAACGTACCGTGAGGGACGCCACGGCCTACTAACCTATCTTGAGGGACGCCACAATCTACTAACGGACCCTGAGGAGGACCACGGTCTACTAACGTGCTCTGAAGAACGCCACGATCTACTAAAGTACCTTGAGGGGCGCCACAGTCTACTAACGTAACCTGACGGTCACCACGGTCTACTAACATAACCCGAGGGACACCACGGTCGACTAACGTTCCCTGACTGACGCCATGGTTTCTAACATACCCTAAGGGACGCCACGGTGTACTAACCTGTCATAAGGGACGCCACGGTCTAGTAACGTACCCTGAAGGACACCACAGTAACTAACGTACCCTGAGGGACGCCACGATCTACTAACGTAACCTGAGGGTCGGCAAGGTCTACTAACGTGCCCTGAGGAACGTCTTGGTCTATTAACGTACCTTGATGAACGCCACAGTCTACTAACGTGCCCTGACGGACGCCACACTCTACTAACGTTCCCTGAAGGACGACACTGTCTACTAACATACCTTGAGGAGACGCCATGGTCTACTAAAATTCCATGAGGGACGCCACAGTCTACTACCATACCTTGAAGGACGCCACGGTATAGTAACCTATCCTGAGGGACGGCACAGTCTACTAACGTATCCTGAGGGACGCCAGGGTCTACTAAGGCGCTCTGAGGGACGCCACGGTCCACTAACGTACCCTGAGGGACACCAGAGTCTACTAACGTGCCCTGAGGAACGCCAGGGTCGACTAACGTAACCTGAGGAACGCCAAGGTCCACTAACATATTCTGAGGGACGCCAGGGTCCATTAACGTACCCTGAGGGACGCCAGGGTCCACTAAAGTACCCTGTGGAATTCTAGGATCCACTAATATACCCTGAGGAACGTCAGGGTCCACTAACGTGTGCTAAGGGACGCCATGGTTCACTAACGTACCTTGAGGGCCGCTAGGGTTCGCTCACGTACCCTGAGGGACGCCACGGTGAATTAACGTACCCTGAGGGACGCCAGGTTCAACTAACGTGCCCTGAGGAACGCCAGGGTCCACTAACGTGTGCTAAGGGACGCCAAGGTTCACTAACGTACCCTGAGGGCCGCCTGAGTTCGCTCACGTACCCTGAGGGACGCCACGGTGAACTAACGTACCCTTAAGGACGTCAGGTTCCACTAACGTGCCCTGAGGAACGCCAGGGTCCACTAACGTACCCTGAGGAACGCCAGGGTCCACTAACGCGCCCTGAGGAATGCCAGGGTCCACTAACGTGCCCTGAAGAACGCCAGGGTCAAATTACGTGCCTGAGGAACGCCAGGGTTCACTAACATATCATGAGGAACACCAGGGTTCACTAACGGGCCCTGAGGTATGCCAGGGTCCACTAAAGTACCCTGAGGGACGCCAGGTTCCCTAACGTACACTGAGGGACGCCATGGTCCACTAACGTACCCTGAGGAACGCAAGGTTCCACTAAGGTGCCCTGAGAAACGCCAGGGCCCACTAACGTACCCTGTGGAACGCCAGGATCCACTAACATACCATGAGGGACGCCAGGGTCCACTAACGTACCCTGAGAAACGCCAGGGTCCATTAACGAGCCCTGAGGAGCATCAGGGTCCACTAACATACCCTGAGGGACGCCACAGTTCACTAACGTACCCTGAGGGACGCCAGGTCCCCTAACGTACACTGAGGGACGCCACGGTCCACTAACGTACCCTGAGGAACGCAAGGTTCCACTAAGGTGCCCTGAGAAACGCCAGGGCCCACTAACGTACCCCGAGGAACGCCAGGATCCACTAACATACCCTGAGGGACGCCAGGGTCCACTAACGTACCCTGAGAAACTTCAGGGTCCATTAACGAGCCCTGAGAAGCACCAGGGTCCACTAACATACCCTGAGGGACGCCACAGTTCACTAACGTACCCTGAGGGACGCCAGGTTCCACTAACGTGCCCTGAGGAACGCCAGAGTCCACTAACGTGCCATGACGGACGCCACGGTCCACTAACGTACCCTGAGGGTCGCCAGGGTCCACTAACTTGCCCTGAAGAACGTCAGGGTCCACTAACGTACTTTGAGGGCCGCCAGGGTCCACTAACGTACCCTGAGGAACGCCAGGTTCCACTAAGGTGCCCTAAGGAACGCCAGGGTCCACTAACGTACCCTAAGGGACGCCATGGGTCCACTGACGTACCTTGAGGAACACCAGGGTCCACTAACTTGCCTTGAGGGACGCTATGGTCCACTAATGTACCCTGAGGGCCGCCAGGGTTCACTAAGGTACTCTGAGGGACGCCATGGTCCACTAACGTACCCTGAGGGACGCCAGGTTTCACTAACGTACCCTGAGGAACGCCAGGGTCCACTAACGTGCCCTGAGGAACGCCAGGGTCCACTAACATATCCTGAGGGACGCCACAGTTCACTAACGTACCCTGAGGGACGCCAGGTTTCACAAACGTACCCTGAGGAACGCCAGGGTCCACTAACGTGCCCTGAGGAACGCCAGGGTCCACTAACGTACCCTGAGAAACGCCAGGTTCCACTAACGTACTCTGAGGGCCGCCAGGATCCACTAACGTACCCTGAGGAGCGCCAGGTTCCACAAAGGTGCCCTGAGGAACGCCAGGATCCACTAACGTACCCTGATGGACGCCAGGGTCCATTAACGTGCCTTGAGGAACACCAGAGTCCACTAAGTTGCCTTGAGAGACGCCATGGTCCACTAATGTACCCTGAGGGCCGCCAGGGTTCACTAACGTACCCTGAGAAACGCCAGGGTCCACTACTAACTTGCTCTGAGGGCCACCAGACTCCACTAACGTACCCTGAGGAACGCCAGGGTCCACTAACTTGCTCTGAGGGACGCCATGGTCCACTAACGTACCCTGAGGGCCACCAGGGTTCACTAACCTACCCTGAGGGACGCCAGGGTCCACTAACGCACCTTGAGGGCCGACACGTTTCACTAACGTACCCTGAGGGCCGCCAGTGTCCACTAACGTACCCTGAGGGACGCCAGGGTCCTCTAACGTACCTTGAGGAACGCCAGGGTTCACTAACGTACCCTGAGGAACACCAGGGTTCACTAACGTACCCTGAGGAACGCCAGGGTTCACTAACGTTCCCTGAGGAACGCCAGGGTTCACTAACGTACCCTGAGGAACGCCAGGGTTCACTAACGTACCCTGAGGAACGCCAGGGTTCACTAACGTACCCTGAGGAACGCCAGGGTTCACTAACGTACCCTGAGGAACGCCAGGGTTCACTAACGCACCCTGAGGAACGCCAGGGTCCACTAACGTACCCTGAGGAACGCTAGGGTTCACTAACGTACCCTGAGGAACGCCAGGGTTCACTAACGCACCCTGAGGAACGCCAGGGTTCACTAACGCACCCTGAGGAACACCAGGGTTCACTAACGTACCCTGAGGAACGACAGGGTTCACTAACGTACCCTGAGGAACGCCAGGGTTCACTGACGCACCCTGAGTAACGCCAGGGTTCACTAACGTACCCTGAGGAACGCCAGGGTTCACTAACGTTCCCTGAGGAACGCCAGGGTTCACTAACGTTCCCTGAGGAACGCCAGGGTTCACTAACGTACTCTGAGGAACGCCAGGGCTCACTAACGTACCCTGAGGAACGCCACGGTTCACTAACGTTCCCTGAGGAACGCCAGGGTTCACTAACGTACCCTGAGGAACGCCAGGTTTCACTAACGTACCCTGAGGAACGCCAGGGTTCACTAACGTTCCCTGAGGAACGCCAGGGTTCACTAACGTTCGCTTAGGAACGTCAGGGTTCACTAACGTACCCTGAGGAACGCCAGGGTTCACTAACATTCCCTGAGGAACGCCAGGGTTCACTAACGTACCCTGAGGAACGCCAGGGTTCACTAACGTTCCCTGAGGAACGCCAAGGTTCACTAACGTTCCCTGAGGAACGCCAGGGTTCACTAACGTTCCCTGAGGAACGCCAGGGTTCACTAACGTTCCCTGAGGAACGCCATGGTTCACTAACGTTTCCTGAGGAACGCCAGGGTTCACTAACGTTCCCTGAGGAACGCCAGGGTTCACTAACGTTCCCTGAAGAACGCCAGGGTTCACTAACGTTCCCTGAGGAACGCCAGGGTTCACTAACGTTCCCTGAGGAACGCCAGGGTTCACTAACGTTCCCTGAAGAACGCCAGGGTCCACTAACGTTCCCTGAAGAACGCCAGGGTTCACTAACGTTCCCTGAAGAACGCCTGGACATTCGCTCTTGCCTTCAGTTGATAAACATTTCGTTCGTTTTTTTATATTTATAATTTATTTAATTTTAAAGAACTGAAGTAGTTTTTGATTTATATTGCAACAAGAAACATGTTAATTTACAAGTATTAAGAAGGCGGCTTGAAACAACGTTTCTCCTCACGACTGTCACATTGATGATTTCTCTATGTATACTTGTCTTGTAACTATCATTGATGACTCCACTAGGTATAATTGCCTTGTGAACTTCATTGATGACACCTCCAGATATTCTTGTCTTGTGACCTTCATGTTATCAACATTAGTTACATTATAATCCTTCAAGTAATAATATACTTGTAAATTATCTGTTTTATACTGAGTAAACCAGAGTTTTTCTTCCCTTCTTTTGTGCGATGCAAATGAAGAAAAATATTAATAAAAATAATAATAATAATATTAATAATAATTATAACAGTAGGCGTAATAATAATGAAAATAATAATAATAATAATAATAATAATAATAATAATGAAAATAATAATAATAATAATAATAATATAATAAGCCTTAATCACTGGAAAACAGTAAACATGTCTCAGGGGTCTCTCCCTCATGTCACTGCGTGTCTCCTCCGTGTCTTACCCGTCTCTCCCTTCCTCTCTCCGTCGTCAGCTTCACATCTACCTGTCTGCTCTGGTGGACACGAACGGTGTTTACATCTTCAGGAGGCTGAGTCTACCCACCTTCAGTCCAGATGGTAACGGATTCACCGACCTAAATACCAAGGTTGAGCTAACGTCCATCCTCCCCCTGGCTAGTTACTACGTTGAGAACGCCATTGAGGTGCCCACAAGGATGAGCAACATGATCGCCACCTACAAGACTGACTCCGAGGATTGTCTTCAGGTGACAGGTGAGTCGTCTAGAAGCGGGTATGCCGTCTCATGCCTGATCTACACTCCGTAGAAGGTAAGTGTACTTACATTTGTCCTAATTCCCCCGTCTCCTGTACGTTGACTCTGTGAGTGTGTACAAGCTGGGGGCGAGGTGTGTACACGCAAGACTAACTGCCTGCACAAAGAAACTGTGTATCCACAGCAGGTAAATGCGTACATACGGTAGTTGTATTATGTATGTATATTCACTGCTGACTGTAATCACCCTTATAACAAGTGGTAGTAACAACCACCATTATAGCCATTGGTAGTAGCAACCACCATCAATAAAAAAGGTGATTGTAGCAACCACCATTATAACAAGTGGTTGTACTAACGACAATTATAACAAATGGTAGCACCCCTTAAGGAAGGTTCCTTGATGTTGGTGAGAGGCTCATGATTTAGGGAATTGGATCTGTGCTCCAGTTCCCCGAATTAAGCCTGAATGTCTTCCACATCCCCCCCCCGGCGCTGTATAATCCTCCGGGTTTAGCGCTTCCCCCTTGATTATAATAATAATAACAAATGGTAGAAGCAAACACCATTATAACAACTACATTAAGAACACAGGTATCGTTACATGACCTATTATACCTGAGCCTCATGATGAAACACCACGAGAGAACTATTCACAAAACAGCAGAGAGATATTTTAAGACAACAAGCATATACCAGTGTTTGTTGTTTGAGTATCCTCATATTCTCACCTCATCCGCTAGGAAAATGATTGGATGGATAATGAGAACCTTCAAAACTTTAAATCTCTTCTGCTCTCTAGGCTGGAATACTGCTGTATACTAACAGCCGCTTTCGATGCTGGCGACATTGTATACCTTGAGAGTGTACAAAGAACTTTCACGGCACACATAAGTGCGATAAGGCACCTAAACTACTGGGAACGGTTGAAGGTCCTTGATCTGTATTCCCTTGAACGCAGGCGAGAGAGATACCTAATAATATTCCCTTGGAAGGTCCTGAAGGGATTGGTACCAAACCTGCACACGAAAATCACTCCATATGAAAGCAAAAGACTCGGCAGGAGATGCAATATTCCCCCGATGAAAAGCAGGGGCGCCACGAGAACACTGAGAGACAACACAGTAAGCGTCCGGGGCCTAAGACTGTTCAATTGCCTCCCAGCATACATAAGGGGGATTACCAATAGACCCCTGGTTGTCTTCAAGAAGGCACTGGACAGGCACCTAAAGTCAGAACCTGACCAACCGGGCTGTGGTTCGTACGTCAGCTTGCGTGCGGCCAGCAGTAAAAGCCTGGTTGATCAGACCCTGATCCACCATGAAGCCTGGTCTCAGACCGGGCCGCGGGGGCGTTGACCCCCCATACCCTCTCCAGGTAAACTCCAGGTAAACCAGCAAATATTAGAGCCTACAAGACGACCTGATACGTAATATAACCATATCAAAGACAATACACTCAGATCACAGCATAATAGAGGTACAGACATGTATGCACAGGGCTCCTGACCAGCAAAATGTGATCAATCGTGAGGGTGTCTTCACAAAATTCAATTTCAATAATAAAAACATACAATGAACATAAGAACATAAGAACATAAGAACGAAGGAACACTGCAGAAGGCCTACTGGCCCATGCGAGGCAGGTCCAAGTCCCTACCGGCCTAAGCCAATGCACCCAACCTAGTCAGGTCAGGTCACATTGACTTAAGGGAGGAACACGGCAACCGACCTGTTAGCACAAGCTATCAGGTCTAACTCACACCCACCCACATCTACTCATGTATTTATCCAACCTATTTTTAAAGCTACACAACGTTCTGGCCTCTATAACGGTACTTGGGAGTTTGTTCCACTCATCCACAACTCTATTACCAAACCAGTACTTTCCTATATCCCTCCTGAATCTGAATTTTTCCAACTTAAAACCATTGCTGCGAGTCCTGTCTAGGCTAGATATTTTTCAGCACACTATTTACATCCCCTTTATTTATTCCTGTCTTCCACTTATAAACCTCAATCATATCCCCCCTAATTCTACGTCTTTCTAGAGAGTGCAGTTTCAGGGCCCTTAGTCTATCCTCATAGGGAAGGTTTCTGATACATGGGATCATCTTTGTCATCCTCCTTTGTACATTTTCCAGAGAATTTATATCCATTCTGTAATACGGTGACCAAAACTGTGCAGCATAATCTAAATGAGGCCTAACCAAGGATGTATAGAGTTGAAGAACAACTGAGGACTCCTATTATTTATGCTTCTTGATATGAAGCCAAGGATTCTATTAGCTTTATTGCGAACACTTATGCACTGTTGTCTTGGTTTCAGATTACTGCTAACCAGAACTCCTAAATCTTTTTCGCAATCCGTAATATTAAGATCTACATTATTTAGTTTATATGTGGCATGGTTATTGTCCTGTCCAACATTTAGAACTTTGCATTTGTCTATATTAAACTGCATCTGCCACTTCTCCGACCACTGCATCAGTCTATTCAAATCTTCCTGGAGTGCTCGAATGTCCTCGTCAGAATGAATTCGACGGCCTATTTTGGTGTCATCGGCAAACTTGCCGATGTCGCTCTTTATGACCTCATCTATGTCGTTTATGTAGATTGTGAACAGCGGGGGGCCCAACACTGACCCTGTGGAACACCGCTCGTGACGCTTCCCCACTCTGATTTCTCCCATTTATGCAAACTCTCTGCTGCCTATTTGTCAACCATGCCTCTATCCAGGAAAAAATTTCTCCTCCTATTCCATGTGCTTTAATTTTCCTCAATAGTCTCTGATGTGGGACCCTGTCAAAAGCCTTACTGAAGTCCATATACACAATATCATATTCATTACCATGATCTACCTCCTCAAATACCTTAGTGAAAAAAGTTAATAAATTCGTAAGGCAGGAACGCCCCTTTGTAAAACCATGCTGAGATTCGTTGATTAATTTATGCTTTTCAAGGTGGCTACGAACTGCCTCGGCAATTATTGATTCCATAAATTTTCCCACTATGGAGGTTAGGCTTATTGGTCTATAGTTCGAAGCTAAGGACCTGTCACCTGTTTTGAAAATAGGTATCACATTTGCCATTTTCCACTTATCTGGCACCATGCCAGTTTGTAGTGATATGTTGAAAAGATTAGCCAAAGGTGTGCTAAGCTCCTCTTTACATTCCTTTAGAACCCTTGCATACAGTTCATCAGGGCCTGGGGATTTGTTAGGTTTTAATTTATCTATTTGCCTAAGGACCATGTCACTTGTGACCCTAATAGTGCACAGTTTATTATCGTCCTGTTCTACATAATTTATCATTACTGGAATATCGCTGGTGGGAACAAGTCAACCATGTCCTAAATGAAACAAGCTGGGAAGATATCCTAAACAATGCAGATCCGAACCTTTGTTTAGAAAAAAAGTAAACTCTGTGATTCTTGAGATCTGCTCATACCACATTCCATTAAGAAAAAGAGAAGATGTAAACTAGAAAGAGAGAGATGCTCCCTATACAGACGAAGGCGAACAATCACAGAACTGCTGAGATGGGCCAGTATATCTGATATATGAAGGGAGGCACTGGTTAATGAAATTGCAAATATCGAACTTAAGCTGAAGGAATCTTACTGGAGACATGAATCTCAGGAAGAACTAAAAGCCATAAAGGAAATTAAAAAAAACATACTTCTTCTCTTATGCCAAATCTAAGGAAAAAATAAAATCCAGTATTGGGCCCCTGCTTAGGCAGGATGGGACATACACAGATGACAGCCAAGAAATGAGTGAGATACTGAACTCCCAATACGACTCAGTGTTCAGCGAACCGCTGCCTAGACTAAGGGTCGACAATCCAAATGAATTCTTTATGAACGAGACCCAAAATTTAGTCATCTCAAAAATCTTGGATATTATCCTAACACCACATGACTCTGAAAAAGCAATAAATGACATGCACATGCACTCTGCTCCCGGCCCAGACTCCTGGTACTCCGTGTTCATAAAAAACTGCAAGAAGCCTCTGTCGCGTGCCTTCAGCATATATGAGGAAGCATGGACACAGGAGTCATCCCACACTCACTAAAAACAACAGACATAGTCCCACTCTACAATGGTTGCTCTGGTGGCCTGGTGGCTAACGCTCTCGCTTCACACGGCGAGGACCTGGGTTCGATTCCCAGTCAGAGTAGAAACATTGAGCGTGTTTCTTTCCACCTGTTGTCTATGTTCCCCATCAGTAAAATGGGTACCTGGGTGTTAGTCGACAGGTGTGGGTCGCATCCTGGGACACTGACCTAATTTGCCCTACATGCTGAGCATAACAAGGGACTTGATACAGTAGTATGTCATTGATGTCAGCTAAAACTGTATACCATGTAAATGTACTTGTAGTAAATAAAGATATTATTATTATTATTATTATAAAGCAATTGCAAAGATCTCCAGACCGATAGCACTAACATCCCATATCATAAAAATCTTAGAAAGGTTCTAAGAAGCAAGATCGCCGACCACCTAGATACCCATCAATTACAAAACCCAGGGCAACAAGGGTTTAGAGCAGGTCGCTCCTGCCTGTCCCAGCTACTGGACCACTATAACAAGGTCCTGGATGCTGTAGAAGATAAACAAAATACAGATGTAGTAGACACCGACTTTGCAATAGCTTTCAACAAGTGTGACCATGGTGTAACAGCACACAAAATGCGTGATAAAGGAATAACAGGAAAAGTTGGTAGATGGATCTATAACTTCCTGACAAATAGAACACAAAGAGTAATAGTAAACAGAGTAAAGTCTGAGGCAGCTACGGTGAAAAGCTCTGTTCCACAAGGCACAGTACTTGCTCCCATTCTATTCCTCATCCTCATATCTGACACAGACAGAGATGTAAGCCATAGCTCCGTGTCTTCCATTGCGGATGACACCCGGATTGCCATAACAGTGACCTCCATCGAAGGCACCACAAGACTCCAAGCTGACATCAACCAAATCTTCAAATGGGCCACTCAGTATGAAGAGAAATTTCATCTACTCAGATATGGAAAACTTGAGGAAAT